CATAGAGGTCCGGAAATCGTGCCCGCAATGAGCGAAGATGTCGCGTGTCTGCAAAAGTGGAGTGCATGATTTCACACAAAAGAGAAGCCTTGTAGAAGTGAAGGACCTCAAAGAACGGCGGAGAGTAGCCATGATCTTGGGAAATGAGACGTTGTAAGAAACTGATCAATAAATAGGCAGTGCACCGACATCTATGAATCTCATACCTGTTGGCCACAGTGTGTTGAGAGTGTGACATAGCGTGATTCGGAATCTGAAGGGCAATCCGGACCACAACTAAGACTTCCAGAATGAGGCCCAACCACGGTAGTTGTGTGATTGATTCGTACTCATCAGCTGGTATCGACGGTGGTGGTAGTCCAGGGAAGCAGTATTGCCAGCACGTAGAGAACATGGTCAACGAGTGTAAAAAGTTGTCCAAAGACTGCCATTGTGCAACATCATCATAGATTCCACAGCGGCGAAGCTCATCCAACATGGTGAAAATGCAACCAATGAAATCTACCATAAGGCGGCGACATGGATACAAGCTGCACAGGCGATCACGCACAAGACAATGCAAGCACAACCAAGTACAAGATCAAACGGATGCAACGCTGAAAGATGACGGACGAGTTTTGACCTTGACTCATCCGTGACACGGTTGCCGCTCCGGGCTCATAAGAGAACGAAGGTCGTTAAGATGCCTGCTCATCAGCTGAGTAGTCGAGCGGTCACGATGAGGTGACTCAATGCCTTCTCAGTGAGCTTGGTGAGATAGCCGGGCTCCAGTCCCCACGAAGCCGCCATCGCCCCGAGAGTGGGTGCGTCGCCTTTCGGCATGCGTTGACGCGCTTGAAGGAGCTGCGTCGCCATGGAATCTAATGACTTGTTGCCGTTGAGCCGGGACGGGTGATTGGCCCACTTGACCAGTGACGTCAAAGTCGTGGTTGTGGGCGATTGCTTGAGATAAAGGCGTGGCTGGTCACTAGTCCATGTGTAGTACTTGACGACTTCTTCCGGCGTGCTGTGCATGGTGAGCAATTGTGACGCCGCCGGCTTGGACGGCGGTGAAGACACCCCGTGAAGAGACTGAATGATCCGGGGTTGCACCGCGCCATCAAACGACTTGCCATCAAGGGCCGCTGCGCTGGCTGTAGGGAGGGAGCTGGCAGGTGACGAGGACTGTGTGTGGTTGACCGGTGGCGGTGTAACCAACTCTGCATCATCTTTCTGGCTTGCCATCGTGGGAGAGGTCGAAGCGCGCAGCGATGCTGAATACTGAGCCTGGAGCAACTCATGTGCACGATTTAGATCATTGTACTTCTTGACCATGTCATCTGTCTGGGTGGAAGGTGTGAGAGAAGCGTGATGTACGTCACGAATATCCATGCCTGACATGTCGCGCAGGTTGCCATGCGGAGTGTTGGCAACGGTCATGGGCAGGCTGAAGTTGTAGAGCTGATTGACATCAAACATGCCATCTCCAGGTGTCCAGTCAGGCGATGGTGTCAGCCAGGTTTTCTGAGGGCGAACCGGTAGAGCCGCAGGAGGTCCAGGTGGCGGTGTAGGTTGTGGAGTAGTGAGTGGTGGTGGCATCACGGGTGGCACAAACTTCGTTGGCGTGGAGTCTGGAGGGATCGGCATCATGTAGTTGATCGCTGGATGTTGGAATTGCTGTGTGGGACTGTGAGTCGATGGAAAATTGGGGGGCATCATCGGGAAATTGTTGGCAGAGTTGTAGCCGGAATTGTGTTGCCAAGATGCCAGGTTGTTCCAATCCATGCCTTCCCGAGACGTGGTAATCATTGTGTTCACGTCGGTGTGCTTTACGAGCCTGAGGAGAAGGACTCCGATCACGTCTGCGCCGAGTCCTGGATCTATCACGATCATCACGTCGAGACATGGTTACACAATCGACTCTCAATCTTCACGCTTCCATCTTGAGAGACACATATCAGCCAACAAGCAAATCCATGCACCGGCAACGTATCAACGAATCCAACATATGCCAAGCAAACAGCCATGGTGAGACGTCTCTATGATCTGACCGCTGTCTTCCCTTTAGTGAGACCTCGTTCCTGGTTAAATGTGAAATTCCGCTGTTCTATGATAAGCACGTTGAGGTCAAATTTTCCGACAGAGCCGGCCCGGGGTCACACAATGGGTACACCCGAGGATTCCCCACGAATGGGGTGTACACACTTGAACTCCAAATGGAGAGTGCTAATCTTTCGAGTACAACTGATGAGTCTCGAGTACAACCGATGAGTCTCGAGTGGGTGTAGGTTCGGCTTGCAGTCACTTGGTTTCCGTCTAGCAGCGAAAACGTTACAAATTCAACATGAAGCACACACAGCGAGAGAAACAACAGGCCAAAAGGACTTTACATCACCAACTCCAAATGTCGCAGGTACGTCGAGGTGATCAGCCTCGATATCCGCATTTGCTGTGGCCGCTTCGTTGGACCATCGCACACAGCAAACGGATGGTCCCCCTGCTGCGAAACCGAAAGGGTGGTGACAGGGCATTCTGTCACTCCGCACACACACACACACACTCTCACCAACCCACCCATCTCTCCATATATATAATATATATGGTACCCCCCCTGGAATACTCAGGTTTTTGGCCACCTCCGTTGCAGGGTCCGTTGAACACTCTGACCCAAACTGTGCATGCCCTGGCCTGCTTTTTCACCTCTTCCGGCTTGGGTCCTGGACTTGTCAATAACGGGACGGTTCAAGCGCCTTCTTCAAAATGCGCTGGCAGCAAGTTGCAGCACGCTTGAACACACAGATACAACTTTTTTCCGTGAAATGTCGGCGCAGCTCCCCATGCATCGCCTCTTGTGAATCAGTGTGCTCTAACTGCAGTGATCTCTACACTGCCTCCCCCGAGTCGACACACAAAGCTTTGGCTCAGGCGGGTTGGAACAGGTGACGCAGCTGAGGTGTATGTGTCAGGTTGATGGCCTTGTCCCAGACTTCCATGTCTGCTTCACCTTAGGCAAACAACCTCTACTGTCGTTTCACCCTCAACTCCCGCAACGTCAAGGCTCCAAGTGAAATGTCCAGTTGCAACTTCTAGAGCTATGTCGGTCATATCTATACAAAATTGTATGCCTACAAATGGGAACACTGGACATGATAGTGGGAGCGGTGTCCCTTTTCCTCATCGCTTTGTTGCTCATGGTCTTGTTTGGCAATTCTCCCTCAATGTCTGCTCTTTCCGCCTTTTTATAGGGAGAGAGAGAGAGAGCGAACGACGCAATGAGACACAGACCTTGGTAATCCTAGTCTTCAGAGTGCTTCCACATGTATCCAATCGCAGCCCGGCCTGGGAATCTGCAAACAGATGCGGCGCAAAGCTCACCGTCTTGGCCTTTGGTGCCACAAAGCTCCACCAGGCCATCCGCCAACTCACAAGAGGGCGAGACTTGCACTGTGGTCCCATCGGAAGCCGTCACGACCCATGAGTCGCCTGTCTTGGAGCATTGGCCAAGCACGCGCGCAGCAGATCCAGCTGCCAGCTCGCCGAAGAGCTTGCCGTTGACCCTCTCAGCAATCACCGCCATGGCTTCAGAGGTACAAAGCTATAAGCAAGCGAGCCAAAATCCTGTGAACATTTGCAACGCGCAAAACATGTCGAGCAATGCAACGATTCGAATCGGGGGGAGGACAAAACTGCTCCTAATACTTACCCCGGCAGTGCCGGTGTCCAATTGTCCTGCTCGTCGAGCTTGCTGCAAAGCCTGCAAAACACCCCTCATCCGCCCAACCGATCAAAGCAGGCTTTCCACTAACCCTGAACTGCACCCCAGCGAATATAAAGCTAAATTGTACCCACCATTTGGGGCTGTAGAGATTCATGCCGGACCCCCATATGGGCCCGCAGGCCAATGGCCACGGATGGTTTGAACTGTCCAATTGCCACTTGAGTTGCGAAATGTAACCGCACCCTCGGCTTACTTCGCCTGAACCCCTTCTTCCTCCTCCACCTCAATCCATTCCTCCTCATCCTGAAGAAACACACGCACCAACGATGCGTACCTTGCGACCGACAAACACATGTAACAGCTTACAGCCGGCTTGCAGCCGGCATCAAAGGCATCGGGACCGCGAAGCAACAAGCTCCTCCTCCCCCGTGGACCCAGCGAAGTAGCCCGAGAGGTCGGAAATCCTCGGCCACCGCACCGTATCTTGTTCACCATGAGCCGGCAAGCCGCGCTTAAGAGCATGGCGATGGATGGTCGAACATCAGGGTGAAAGGTAGGCCTTGGAGGCACGCAACCATAACACAATTTACCATATGCTCCAGGGCTCCCTGAACATTCTGAACGCACTTGCACTTCCATGCGCTGAGCTGGCACTGCATCGAAAAACAAACGGCCCTAGCTAGGCAAGCGACTAGGACCGGGGATCGCTTTGGCGAGCTCATTTCGCAGGATGACCTTTGGCACGCAGTTTGAGCGCTCCCGTGGGGGAAACAAGCCATTGATGACATTGATGTACGTAGGTGTCCTGCAGCAGACTGGCTTGTCAACCCCGATTGCATCAGCGGAGTGTCCTGAGGCGTCAAAACGAGGATGCTGCTGACTTCTGTGATCACACGTCACATTGACTTTATCTCGGCTTCAGGCATCCATTAGGTTGTCCATTCCAACAATCTCTGACACCACATCTCGAACCTGCAACAAAGCCGATCCCCAGCCGCCAGCAATCAACGCGTAATTGCAAGCAGCTCTCCGCCCGCGCAAGCAACATGCAATCAACAAGCTCAGCCTTCTGACGGAACACTTCCACGTTGACTCCTTATTGCAAGCTCTGATGACTCTGATGGGCATCAGGTTGTGGAACTGAGTTCCCAGCCAGCCTTTCGCTTGCGCACAACGCGCACCTGTCAGATTCTGATGGCAGGCCACAAGGCATGTGACCCTGCCCCTCACCACCAAAGACCACACACATGCATCGAGCCGGAAAACGCCTTGCCCCTCGTAGAGACGGCGCTGACTGGATTGGTCACAGCATCCAGGGTCGCCTGCAAAGGGCGAGCTCTAGCTGAAGCCGCCGTGTCTGCAAGCTGAAGGAACGCGTCTCGTAGGGCTGTGACAGGGCTGATGCTCCAAAGGCATAAGCTTTATAAATGGCTGTGGGTCAAAAACTGGTACCCAAACTGGAACCCTCGCAAATGGAACCAAGGACTAAAATCTGCGGTCCCCTGGTGGTTTAATTTTGACCCAAACCCAAATCTTGCTTGTATGAATCCTGGGCCTTTGCCAAGTCCTGGCCAACGTAGTCTCGAACCTCCTGGAATGGGCTTTGCACGAAGGGGATAAGGTGGCTTCCACATGGCGGTGGCCGCACAACTGAACACACCCTTCCTCGAACACGTACAGGGCCTTACCTCATCACGCGCGCAGGGCCGTTGCTTCGTCCGAAGCGGCGCGAAATGGAAAATCGTTTTGAGCGCCCCGGCTGGATGCCTGCTTGGCCGCCTCACTCTTGCCCAGTGCTAGGTACCTGAAGCAGGGAAGGCCCCAGCATGCTGGTGTCTTCGTCTCGCTGTCACCTTCGTTACAGGTCTGAATGCTGAGCTGCTTTGAACATTGGTGCAAACAGCTGCAAGCAATCACCTAGCATGACAGCCCACGCAGCTGACCGTACACACGGAAAGGCAAGCGAATCTGCAAAGCCCACGCAAGCCTGGTAAGCAAAAGTAGGCATACACTGGATACACTAGCATCCACAATCGTGCACTACAAGTCGACGTGTGGTTGTTGACCTAAAATGCGGGAACTTGCATTCAGCCAACGGGTGAACTGAAAGGAAGCCATCCTGTGAACAGTACATGCATGCTTGCTTGACCACGCCAAGGGCAACATGTATGTAGTCAATCAATGGCAAACACATGGGGCATGCCAAGTCGACTTCGAACAAGTCGTCACTGGAGCTGCTACATTGCCCAGTGTTCACATTGCTGTCAAGTAACCCTTGCAAATTGATGAGGGGATAGCCGTATTTAATTCTCACACGAGACCAATCAAGTGAAAACAGAGGGGCCAAAACTCGGCTTTGGCCCAGCGCTGGGAGCACGTATTGGCGGAGAGTACAAGGGCCGTAGCCTGGGGATAGCTGGCTTGCCCCTGACTCTAGTGCTACCTTCCATTTCCATTTCCAGGGATCCGAATTCTAGAAAACCTCCAGAAGCCCAGGGAAGCGGAGCCGGTTGAGCAGAACGGAGCCGGTTGAAAAGAATGGGGTAAAGGAATCAACCCTCAGAACTCCACAAGACCCGATTTTTGCAGAGGCTCGCGCCTCAGCCAAGCGATCACCTGCATTGCGCGCGAGGTTGGCCGCCGTGCTGGCAGCTTGTCGGGCCGCCTGATGGCATCCAGCGCTTGGCTCATGGAATAGTTCCGCTACGAGCTTTGGCTGTTTCTCATGCGGCACCTCCTTCTCTCCGCCCAGGAACTGCGACTGTGACAAAGCACACAAGGCAGAGCAAACCAGATCTGTCCTTAGCCGGTTGATCGGAGTTGGCATAAGAAGTCGGATGCGGGAAACACTCATGTGATGCAATGGCTATCCGTAAAGGTCGCTGCCGTTGCTGCCGTCGTGCCAAACCCACTGCCTTCTTGGCAACCTGAGGCAAGCGCTTCCTGCGCTCCCCCACCAGTCTTCGCACATGTCATGCAACAAGAAAGCACGGCTGGTTCTTGGAGAGTGGATGCGAAAGAATGGACAGGTCGGAACCAACAGCAACACACGCACAAAGCAGCAACCAAAGTGGTTAGCAACATCTGCTGTCAAAAACATTCGCAGCATGCATCGTCTCTGAGTTAACCAAACCCCACCAAACGCAAGTCGAATCATTAGGGAGACCAGCGACATGTGCACGCCGATACGACCAAATTGGAAAGGGGATACCTGGGGATTCCCTTCCAAGCCGCCAGTTGGATGGTTTATATATATATATAGGGGTCATTCCATTTCCCATTCCCTGCTGAGCACCAGCCAGTAAACCAGTTGCAAGGGACGTCCCCCAACCTTTGGTTACCTAGCAAGGGCTACTCCTGTTGAGAACTGGAGAGTTATGTGCTTTGGCAGATTTTGGCAGGGGGGGCATAAAAGACTTGTGGACAGAGATAATATGTCACAGCACCGCTCCCACCACTTAAGTGGCCTGGTGACAAGTAATGAGTGAAGGCCGCCCCCTGACAAAATGTCGAGAGGTCAATGGGACAAAGCCACCAGTGAGACAAAGACACATTGGCGTCAATTGCTCAACTGCTTAGTTTGCGATGTTGTTTGCGCAGTTTTCCGCGTGAACAACATTTTGTTGTCAGATGATGTATGCCTAAATGTTGACTAACTATTTACACAAAGTCAGTATTTGATTTGCTACCCACCTGTTTTCACTGCCACGTGTTGCGCATTCCAATGCAGATGGTTCGCTGCTGCCTGGAGGTCATCCCAACATTCCCAGCACCTGGAACTTGGGGATTCCTGAAAAGCCACCTGGATGTTATTTTTTTGGGGGGGTCATTCGATCGCAGGTCATTCTACCTTAGGAACCTCAGGACAGTTTCAGCCCGGACGTCTGTAGATTTTCCCCGCGCTGCGTGCCTGGGCTGCCTTGGAGGCGAGCTCTTTGAAGGCTGGGCTATCAGGTGCATCGTGGCCCACTTCCATCAAACCCATCGTGGCCTCACGGTTCGGTGAGTTCGGTTAGAAATAGATGGCGCTGGCTTAGGTTGTTTGTTTCCATTTACCAGGGCCATCATTTTTTCAACAGATCGCCTATGGTCACATGCTAGATTACTTCCAAGAGGCACACTGCCTCAGCTTTTCCGCTTCCTGCCTACCTCGGCCCTCCAAAACCCAGCCTTGCAGCCCCCTTTTGCTACTGTTCAACGGAACCAGCGCACTCAAACCTTCCGCTTTCCTTTGGCATGCGTGCCCCAATCATTCGCCTGCGCAATGCTGACGTTGAGGCCTCGGTGCACAGTTTGGGCGCTTGCCAAGCCCGAGCAGCTGGGGCTGTGACTTGCTTCCGTGACGGTGTCACCAACACCAGTGGCCAGCTGGAGCGCCTAAGCGCAAAATGGCAAAGCTCAAGCTGATGAGAATATGCAATTGCCCTTGACTCTGCCAAGTAAACTGCGCAGTGATTCATGCCTTTGGCTTTCAATTTTCAATATTCTTTGGCCATTTGGATGGATGGAGACATGGCTTCATCTTGACAACTCGGCATCCCGTTCTGGCCTTCTCCAGCGTCGCCAGCATGTCCGAATAGCGCATCGCGCGTGCATGGACCTGAGCAAGGATGTACGTCACGTGCTTGGGTCTAGATTGTTTACACTTTAAAATGCTTGCTGGTGCCATAGGTGGGGAATGACCGTTCCGGGTGTTGGGAATGAACCGGAAGGGGATTCCCCGCAATGAACACATAGGGGATGGTTTATAGGGGTCATTCTCTCATTCCCTGATGAGAATCAGCAAGTTAGAGAACTAGTATATTGTTCCGCAAAAGTTTCTGACACAAGGGTGCCTTCTGCCCCCTCCCGTGCTTCCGCTCCCATGCTGCCATGCTCTTCTGGGCTTCTGCGCAAGCGGGTATACACAACATGAGGTCCTTTGCGCGACTCCTTCTCTAACCTGCCCAGGTTTTGCAGGGAAGATACCCAAGTTGGACCTACCTGCTTGCCAGGTCCTGAGCAAGCAGTGTTGCTGCCCGATTTCAGAGCCTTCCGTGTGCCTCTGCAGGTAATTCCGATTGTTGACGTGTGCTGTTTACGCATATCGGTTGGGATGACAGCACTGTTGCGCCAATCAGCAGCCAAAGTTACGGATGGCATGTGTCCCCTCTAGTTGATGTGAGCTCAGTTCAATGCATTCAGGTAGGTTCTTGTCCCATCCATTTCAACCGTGCCTTCGGGGCGGAGGGAACTGCTTCATACCCTTCGCTTGTGAGCTGGTGCATTTAGCTTGCGTTGCTCGTTTAACTCGCCTAATTAAAACGCCATTAAGCCAATCACATGCCACCAGGTCTTCCCCAACGCTGGGCTTCGGGCATCCGCTGTGATTTGAAGTGCTGAAAGCTCGCCCATCCTCAGGAGCCATGCAACTTGTGTCTTGTAGTCTTGCAGTAAGTACTTTCTCTTGCACCACGGTGCTGGTCAAGCAACGCCTGCGCCCTGCAAGTTTGTTACTCGCTGAAATGGACGAGACTGGCGACACAATTCCTGCAAGCCAACCTATGTGTCTTCGCATTGCGTCCGAATTTCAGGGACGTCATGGCGCCCATTTGGAGACAAAAAAGAGAATTGCTTTTATCGCCTTGCTTGCAGTTTTGGAACTTCGCAGTAAGTGATCGCCGCCCTTGATTACCACCATCTCCTTTGGCTCCGCTGCAGCATCAAAGAGCTCCTCTCCATTCTCCAAAGGAATGCTCCGGTCGCGGTCGCCGTGGATGACCAGCAGCGGAGACACGGAGGATGACACAACACCACGGACATCCAAGTTAAGGAAATCGCTCCGGTATCGTTCGCTCAAAGGAATGGCGCATTTCCGCCATGTCTCGTCGGTGCAATCTTCTGGCACACGGATTTGAGCGCTTGCAGGGTTGGATGCGGACTGGAGCGGCAACCAAAATTCCTTCAGGCAATACCCTTGCTCATCGAAGGCTTCTAACTGGGATGAGTCGAAGTCGTATTGAAGGCCTTTCCTAAGCTGGCCGAGTGCTCCATATTGAATAATTACAAAGTATGTCCCCATCCCCATACTGCAAAGCAGGTAAAGCACAACAAAACAGCAGCGCTGCAGATTTTAGAGCCACATGTCTGCACATCAGCCAAGCCTGCAATGGCAGTGATGGTCATGTTGTTGGCACAGCCACGGAGCAGGCTCGCAACGATGGCTCCCGTGGAGATGCCAATGATGTGCACGGGGGTGTTGGGCGCGGTGCGTCGCAAAAAGCAAATCACGGAGTGAGCATCGCTGACTTCTCGGCTAACCGTTTTGTCAAAGAAGTCGCATGCACCGTCCGAGCCTCAAGGTCATCTTGGTTGGGTGGCCCCGACAAGGTATTCCAAACAGAACGTCTCTAGAAGGCACTATGCGTTTTTTGGGGAAACCCTTGCCGCAGGGTCCATTTCCATCAGGCGTTGCGCCGGCCTGGAGTGCCCGCAAAGTTGAAAGCCACAAAGGCGGCCCTGGGTCGAGCACTGAGAATGCCTTCTGCCAGCCGCTGTGGCAGCTGCGGGCGAATCTGGCCAAAGCTGCTGCACTCTTTGCGGTGGTCTAAGCTCTGATCTGGAAAGCCATGAAGATACAGAAAGAACTCCAGGGGAAAAGCCTGCGAGCTCGTGATGCAGGTCAGCAGTTGCTCATTTTTGCCAAAGGCTGCTGGGGATGGCACTCGAAGCACCTGAGTGGTCCGCTTGGGCTTCACAAAGATTCGCTGGGCTGCGAAGAGCTCATCCCACATCGCTCACTCGGGCCAACTCGACATAACCTCTGGATGGGCTGGCGGCTAGCATGATTCTGTGAACAAAAGACTGCGGGAGCAGCGAACCAGCGGACGCGAGTGAGCGGCTTTGTGAAGAAGCGCACATGCATTCATGCCTTTTTCCTCTAATATCGAAAATATGTATTGCTGCAGCTTCATGCTGAGGGAAGGTGGAAGGCAAAGTCTGCTTGCAGAAACTCAGTACGCCCTAACCTTGTCAAATAACAATGGAAAGCATGGGAAGCATAGACACACGTGGCACCCGCACCCCAGCACAAAGGCTGCTGCAAATTACCTTGCGAATCATACGTATGATTCGCAAACATCTGCCAAATTGCAGGTGTCCGGCTATCATGCCGCTACTTGCTCGCGGCCATTCGCCCATGGCATGCCATTCCTCCCATCTCAGGACTACCTTCTGGCTCTGCCCCGCCCTGCCATTGGCTGTGCAGCCATCTCCTGCAGTAGTTGATGCTAAGACCATTGCGGATTTGGGGGCACCAAGGTCACCACTGCAAACGCCTCAAACACAAAACAAACCGTATCCATTGGATTGTGTATCTCTGGGTTGGTGTGCTTGCTTGATTGGTTGGCTGGTTGTTAGTGTTTGTTTGCTCGGTGTCTTGCCTGTGTAGTTGTTGGATGTATTTGTTTTAGTGAGTCTGTTTGTCCGTTTGTGTCTGTTTTGGCTGGTTTCTTTGTTTGTTTGTTGGTGTGTCTGTGTGTTTGTTTAGTGGATTGTCGGTCTGTCTTTTTGTTTGCTTGTTTGCTTGGGTTTCTTTGTTTGTCTGTTTTCCTTTGGGATGGTGAAAGTGCGCGTGCGCGCGCGCCCGCGTGCGTGTGCGTCTGCGTGCGTGCGTGTGTGCACGGGGTCGTGCGTGCGTGCGCGTTGGTGAAGCACGCGTGCGTGCCCGCATATCTCTCATGTTTGTCGCCGGCGGGCTCTCGTGCGCGTACAGGGTTGCGTATGCGTGCGCGTGCGTGCGTGTGCGTGCGCGTAGTCGCGACAACTGAGTTGGTTTTCGCGAACGCAAGGATCTGGCACCACAAGAAATATGGGTGAGGCGATGGAGAGATTGAGAGGGAGCGACACGCTTGAAACGAAACAAAACAAATTCTGCAGCAGTCCTCCAACCAATCTGGCACATCAGAAGCGTCTGGGTCGTCCTTTTTCGCATCCATCATTGCTTTCACGATGCTTCTGAGCGAGCTTTCTCCTTAAACTTGTACTTTTGGCATACGCAAATTGACTTCCTAAGCAACTTGCTGGTGCTCAGTAGGGAATGTGGGAATGAACCCAGGGATTCCCTAAAGGAAGCCACAATGGATGCTTTATAAGGGTCATTCCCTCCTTCCCTGTTGAGCACGAGCAAAGCGATTTGCCAAAGCCAAAACTTGGTCAATCTCGACAGGTGGCGATTGCCGACGAAGGATGTGGCGCGGCCTTTATTTCCGATACGCCCGGTCCTTGCGTTTGGCCAAAAGCTCAGCACGCGTCGCCACGGCACTTTGTGTCACACTGCCAACAACCCACCTGCCAATCCGATGAACATAGCTGTCACCTTAATGCAAAATCAAGGTCGCATTGATCAAATCAAGGTGCCACAAGGTGCCACAGATTGCCACAGGCAACTCTTCGCAGAATGCCGATTGCACATGTCGGAAAACAATTCGACTTCTGCCAAGCTCGAGACCATCCTGAGGAAGGTCAAAGTTCACAATATGGTCAACACCAGGGACATCCAGCCCTCGAGCCGCCAAATCTGTGGCCTGGTTTGCGGTCGGCCGCGCTACAGGCAAGATAGGCAAGCGATTAGGCCCGGTTTCTCTGATCACTCGATTGGTATGCCAGCGATCTTGCAAATTGCAGTCTCGCTTGATGAAGAAAATCGATTTGCCACCAAGTAGCAACAAGAACGTCAATCCTGCCCGACTTGAGGTCAGCCAAGGCCCTGTTCCGGTTGTTCTGTGAAGTATCTTCAGGGCAGGCGTCTAACGCACCAAAGAGCTCCCTGTCTCTTCAAACCGAGCTTGAAATAATCAGCCTTGATACTGCACAGCATTAAGCAACAGAACATCTCTCAAAGCTTAAAATTTCAAAGGGTTGAAGTTTCATTTTTCCACTAGGCTCTTGCAACTGCCTGTGGTGCGAGAAGGCATACTCCAGCTTTGAACAGCTGAGGGGGTTGGAAACTCCAAGCCTCCATGCATAGAACTTGCTCGGATATCTTGCTCCTCAAGCCTGAAAGTGATATCGTCCACCACTGCCTGCACGAAGACCGCCCAAACGACAGACATTGGACATTCTCTCGCCCATATTCTGTTGATACCCCTCCACACAGGAAATGGCTTCTCATTGTCCTGTTGGAAAGGGGTGGAGGGTGATTCGGGGTGAAAATCCCGACCCACGCATCCGAGCGCGACGGCGGAATGCCATTTTTGGCAACCATGAACAAGAAGCCCTCCAGCCTTGCCTTGGTGTTGGCGAAAACAATAGTCTTTGCTGGCCTGCCGTCCTCTTTTGTAACCTGTGCAGGGCAAGCTTAGCTTGTCAGCCTGCCCATTTCAGCAACTCATTGCTGCAAAGTGGAACCCTCGGCCCTCGAACATTGCAAACAGCAAGCATCATGCCCGCCTCTTGCAACAGGTCGAAGAGTCTAGTATGCTTCTCCGCCCAAGGAACCTTGTGGCAGGTTAAGCACTGACAGCACGAGGGAGGCAACATAAAGCACAAAACAAGCAACCAACGTGACATAACCAACAAGTCCTTGCCTTGACGCTCTGCTTTCAAAGACCAGGGGCACGTTGCAAGTCACACAACAATATGTTTGCCTTCTAATTGTAGAGAAGGCCCTCAAGGACACCGAACATGTTGAAGTTGAAAGCCAAAGACAAAAATACATGAACCCGCGCGAACGAGGTGCAGTGACTAAGACATGCTTGACCTTCGTCAGATCCAAGGAGCTTCTTCGAAGACCTGCTCCACATCTGTGGCGGCATGGCCAACCTTCCGAGCTCAACACACTCAACTGCATAGGCGGGAACCACGTGAAGCACACACGCACACGCACGTGTGCGTAAAAAACACACGCGCACTTGATCACAAAAAACAAACACCGCACACACACAACGCGCGCAACACAGAGACACACGCATAGACGCCGCAAAGACAAACACACAACACCCACAACACACACACACACAACACACACACACACGCTCACAACATACATACACACACACACACTGGTAGACACAACACATACACAACACCAACTGTCAACCGACCCTGAAGCCTCTATCGCCCAACAAAGCAAAGCACACAAACACACGCGCAAACAGACTCATGCCTGACATGCCATTGGATGTATGGATTTATGCATATCTGGATGTATGCGTGTATGGCCGTGTATGGATAGATTTAAATAAGCACAATCGCTACAGAACTCGAAGCAACGCAACACAAAACACACACACACACACATCACAAGCACAGCCCAACGCAGTTCAATACAACAATTCAACCAATATTCAACCAGTATTCAACCACAGCTCAACGAACGCCACGCAATACTGCATGGTAATTTGTCTTTTGGGCTGTTTGAGTGGAAGACCGTGCTATACCATGCTTAAACAGCAAGCCTTAATTCTCTGCGCCTGGCCGACACTGATACCATAGTAGGCTGGATCCAAAAAGTCCAAAGCCATGTCCTGCATCTCCTGGGCAGCTCAAGCGACGAGTTGAGCCGCTAGCAATAGAAGTCTGCGCCTGTGGGAAGGTTGCCGAAAACATCATCGTCTGACGTCCGCCCTGCATTGGCCGCGCTTGCGAAGGTGTTGCTGCAACAAGCCAACCCTCAGTGCTTTCTACTTGCCACAAATTGTCGCAAAGCACTTCGAAAATGGCATCTGGCCTCGCCCGGATCCGGCATGCCGTAGTTCTCAATGATGTTTCCTTGGTAGAGACCGAGGCAGCTCAGGATCATGCAAAACTTGCAAGGCCTTCAGTGCAATCCCTTGCTACTACGCCAGTGCCAGCCTGTGTGCATTAGAAATTGCCCCTCGCGCTTGCCCAGCCTAATTTTCACATCTAGAACACATCCCAAACTCACTTGTTGCCTCACTGACTCGTTGCACGACATTCTCCGAACCTGTTCGGAAAAAAAATCGGAAGCTGGACAGCTCACGTGTTCGAAGTGACCAGACGCCTGACCGTGCCAGGGCACGGAGCTGGGGTTCAAAGCCCATGTCCAGCATACGATCTGCCTCATCCACCACCAGGAACCTCAGCTTTTCGTCTGCTGACACGAGTCCCCAGACGAAAAATCCCAGCGGGAGGATTTAACGCTTGCAAACCAAATCAAGCAAATATACTTCTTGCATGAAGATGCAAGGCTTCTGCCTGACTTGCCAAGCGGCTTCACCTCCTCCATGCTAATTACCTGAGGCTTGCCGGCTTGCCCACGGCAATTGCAACATGGGGCACGAAATGGAAGCCTGTGAGTCAGCAACGCTAAAAAACAAATCCAACTCATAGGTTGCACAACCAAAAACCAGTGCAATGGATCTGATCATGAATCAAAATGAGCTTCTAGAAAGTCGGGACTCCAGTGCCAAGTACAAGCTGCCAGTGTAGCGGAGTCACCAACTGCAACCGGGCAAAAACACCCACAAAAATCTGGGGACCATTTGAGGCAACTTGCACCTCTTTATGCAAAGAGGCTCCCCGCTGCAGAAAGTCGTCCAAACGGCCAGGCGCGGCCACGACGATCTCCTGAGCTTGCGTCAGAAAGCAGCTTGGACTGCTCCCTTTTCGGCGTGCCTTTCTCTCTCTCTCTCTCTCTCTGCTTTATTATTTCTTTGCTTGCTTGATTTCTTTTCTTGTCTGTCTTTCCTTCTGTGTGAGATCTTTCTTCCTTGCTTTATGTTATCTGCTTTATTTTATCTCTCTCTCTCTCTCTCCCTCTCTCACTCTCTCTGTGCTTGATGGCAACTATTCTTTGCCTGGTGTCAATGCCAGCGGCGATTGAATTCAGCTGCATGGCAGCATCCTGACCTTGAATGCAAGCCCTACGTGCTCAAGTGCGCAGCATATCTTTGTTGTGTCGGGCCTGTTCTTTCTGCCACGCCTGCGTGCCTACGCCGCCTGCGCCAAACGCGATCACTCCCACCAAAACGCCTACGCGAGACCAGGTTGACTAGATGCCTGCCATTGCGCCTACGCGACATCGAGCGTCTCGGCACATTTAATTAGGGATGTGCAAAATCGCAACTTTTCAGTACAAAAGTAGTACACAAGGTGAACTTCTGCAGCTCCAGAACAAACATCGCAACCTGTAGTAGTTAGAGGTAGACCTTGGCAGCTCCAGCTTGGAAACCCGCAACTTTTTCGCACACATGCACGACTAAAAGCACACTTTGGCAGCTCCATCTCCAAGGTGCCAAATGCCTACGCGAAATCTGTCTGACTTTTGCTTCAATGCTTCACGTCATTCATCCACGCTGCAAATGGTGGGTCAATGTGAGTCAAGAAGCCCAAAACTCATGCTGGAGCATCGAACATCCATGCAAACCATACTCAGCAATCCGCGAAATCAACAACCCGAATAATCCGCAACCCGCTAACCATCCGTTTTTTTTGGGGGAGGGGGGTTCTGAACATGTTCAATTCTGAACAAGCTAGTTTAAAAGCACGTGCCACGTCACACAAGCAAATCTTAAATCGTCGACTACACGACTGCCTACCCGAGTCTTCACCACACGAGCCTCCGCGAAATGCCTGTGTGCGCACGCCTGCGCGTGACCCTGTCAGTCAAATGCCTACGCGAAAAATAATGAAAAGATGTGGTCCTTCATCCCTGGAGCCCAAGTGGCTACAGAACACTGCAATGCTACATATGTAAGCCAACCTGTTGAGGGGGCGTGGGTTTTGCCAGGATGTGTCGTCCCTCCTGCCATCCGATTTAGGAACCATGCATATGCATGCATCTAATGTGACATGTGTTTGTGCAAATTGAGAGTTCACCATGCAGAACATGTCTTGATTTCGCCCCATTTTGGGATTTATTCGGTAGGTTTGAGGTTGATTCAGAGTGTGCATCAGCTCGTGGATTTCGGGTGGCCTGGCAGCTCTTTGGGGCGGGGTTGACATTATTTGATGACTTAGGGGGCTCAGGGGTAGGGCGGTTTACGGTGCGATTGAGCTTGGTTCAGGAGCGGGTTGGTTGGTTTAGGATTGTTTCGGGGTTGGCAACTTGAGATTTTGCGGGGGTTGGTTCAGGGTCATCATTTAGGTATTTGGTGGGCTTAGGGCTTGCTGCGTTGAGGGCAGGCTTTGAGGTTGGCTTCGGTGCGGGGGTTGAGGTGGGCTGACGTCCCAGTATTCACTTGGGGTGGGCGGAGTGTTTTTGGAATGCTAGCTGGCTGAGTTGGGGCGAATCAATCGTGAGTGCTTGAGACGTGCTGGAGCTTCCTCGTATCCCGGGACCCCAGGACATGACTGCTGAACGTGTCTGCGCCCAAGGCACCTCCAAAAATTGCCGTCACTCGCGCCGAACTGCGAAATGTGAGGCGCTTTGCCTCTTGCGCAATCTGCTGGCAAAGCTCGCCTCAAAACAATCGGCGAGCGAACTCTTGAGCTTGGCGAGAGCGTCTGACACCGGCATTCATCTTGATTGGGAACCCGACATGGTGGACATCGTTTCCGTGGGGTTTTATCTGAGTGAACTGTAATGTTTCACCAACCTGATATAAGGTGGTTTGGGGGCTATTCCCCGCATAAACCACCATTTAGGGTGAGGCCCGTGTGTGATCGCTATAATTCACCCAGTTTATGTCCACTAACCGCGTTCCAGGCGGTTCCTATAAATTCATAGGCCACATGTCAACTGTCCAGTGCGCTGCTCTGCAGGCTGCAGGCTGCAGCTGGGCGGCGGGTGGGCGCCAAAACCACGCTGGTTGGGCAAACAGGACCCTCCTCTTTCAACACCTACGGATGCGCGATGCAACTGGTGCTCACAGTTGCGACTTTGTACATCCCGCCTTTGGCCCAGCTTTTAAAGCTGCGGTAACAATCGGAACCTCGGCTTGGCTCAAGTTGCAACTACTTGCATAGCGAATCACATTGAGATAGACAGGAACTCAAAGGTCAACATAGCCACATTGATCTGCGCACTGGGGTATGGATCATTCAACCCCATGAGCCAGGAGCAGAATCGATGAGACACGCACCATCCCGAGCAAATGCAGCCAGCATACCAGAAATGCTGCGGTCTTTCCGCTTCCAGTTTGAGCTGTCACCATGACATCACTTCCTCGGCTCGCAAGTACCAAAGTTCCAGATATCTCTAGCCCCCCGTGCCCCAAAACCGCGGATTCTTGCTCACTCTCTCTCTCTCTCTCTCTCTGGATTTGTGTGGCACCCAACTTCTAATGAACCAACAACAACAGCTTTCTACACAACCAGCAACAACAACCGCAACCTCTTCCCTGCCAGGTTGCCTTCTAGAACTGCAGGGATGGAGTACTTTTGGACTGGAGTTGGAGTCGAGTAAGAACATCGGGTCAAGTTCTCGGTGAGCTCGTCCGGCAGCTGGTATCTATCACAGGCTTCCTGGAATGAGGCGATGGGCTTCTCTTTGCCCGTGCCACCCTCGGCGACGACCTTGATGTCATCATACTTCGAGAAGTTGATGCCAGCGACCACATGGCTAGAGCCAAAAAGCAGCTTCTCGTCGCGCGCCCATTGGGCATCGCTCAAGGGGCGCCGGCCGCCGACCTTCAGCAGGGACCTTTGGTTCGCAAAGAAGCGGTTGGTCTCCATCTCGCGCTTCCGCTCGGTGCGCTCAGCTAGTTCCGCCGGAGAAAGCCGATTGCCGCTGAAGTAGGCACGAGAGCTCTTCACCACTCGAGCGGCCAGGAGCGCAAGGCAGAGACTGCTGCGCGAGCCATCAAAACTGGCAGCTCTCTTGGCTGAAGGAGCCACAGGATGGGCATGTCGAGCCGGTTGCCAAGCCCCTGCACAAGGAGCAGGAACGATGAAGGCCGATGCAAGATCCATCTGTCTAAAGGGAGCTGCGAAACCAACTTCTCTTGAGCCCAACAACTTCCCGCTGAAGCTATTCGAAACGCAATGCTGTGTCATGCTGCGGCCGCGATTTCTCTTCTTGCTTGCATGCCACAACATGCCACAACATGCCACAACATGCCACAACATGCCACAACATGCCACAACATGCCACAACATGCCACAAGTCACAAGCAAGCCGCTGGGAACCGTGCTTGTCCCCCATGGATCTGAAGAGTGCCCGCGCTTCTTCTGCGCAGGCCAGCACCTGGGCCAAAGCGGACGAGCTTTGGAGTGGAAGCTGTCCGCTCTTCACATGATGCGCCTCCTTGGGTTTGCTCAGCCTCACGTCCACACAAGGCACTCAACAAGAAGGCACACCAACGGATGCTGTCTATTGAATGAGTTTGCCTGTCATCTCCCCACAAGGCCTGAATCTACCTGACTTGGCTTGCGAGAACAGCATCCAGGCGCGGTTTGGGCAAATGTCGGGGTTTTGGCTAGCTCCTTGACACGTACTGAGGCTGCTTCTCCATGTGCACATTGGCCATGGACAGCAGGCACAATGCCTGCCATCACACACCCTGAATAGCCAGTGGAAGAATCCGCCGCCCGAGCCTGACCCAGGGCGTCCCGGTCATTTCGATTGATGGCCTGCTCCTACACATCTGTCGCGGTTCCATGTTGGCTGTATTCAAGAGGCCTGTTACCTAAAGTGCTCCGGTAGCTTAACCAAAGCAGAAGCCCAAAAATCGGAAAAAGTTTCCCACAAATTAACATGTCGCAGTTCCATGGTCCATGTTCTCCCCCCACAACCCTCTTTGCATATCCCTGCCTGCTTCAGGATGGCCAATGCCTGACGGTGACAGGTGACCTGTTGGAAAAATGGATGGCCCTGATCCTGGTAAATGGAATGAAACCAGTCTAAACCAGTGCCATCTGTGTTGAACCAAACTAGCACAAAAAGAACAACTATGCTCCTGACAGCATAGTTGTCTTCACACCAGGAATTTAAGCCAACGTTGCCATTGCCTTGTCGCTGTTAGGCTTGGCCAGAAAAACCTCAGAGATGCTCAAAACCGCTTGCTCCATCTGGCAGTGCGCTCAAAGCGCAACAGTTGGAGTGACGATGCGGCTCGGGCATCCAGAGATTTCCGGAGAGCGGTTCGGATCTTTCCGGGCCATTCCTGGGGTTGCCGGCATCTGCCAGCAAGCCGACGGACTCGGCACGCAAAGCCCTGACAGCAACCCATGCTGTATATGGGGTCTTTGCACGCGAGTGGCTGGCATCATAATGCATGCCAGAAGGCTAAAGGATGAGAGTAAACCCAAAAACAAACACCACAACCAACTCGACAAATGCCAAAAGCAGCGGTCAAATGCTGCAAAAGGCCTGTCATCAACGGCCTGCGCAATGTGCAGCGCAGTTCGAGCATGATCCTCAGCCTGCGCGCAGGCGAGGCTGAGCAATCACGCGCAAGAATTGGATATGACAAGCTTCCCCGAAGGCTTCAAGTAATCAATTTGCACACTGAGTTGAACCTGTGGGAGATGGCCTAGCCATGTGCTCCCCGAGAAATGCCTTGGCAATGCCCGCTGCCTGGTCAAGCTGCCTACGTCGCAAACACTGCCGGGACATAGTGCATAACCTCGGGAATGAGCCAGGCGTGAGTGCTGGCACAGGTGAACAAAAAATATGTGACCGAATTAAGGAAAGGGCGAACCTGCAGCAGAAGCCAAGCCCATGTTGGCAACTCAGGCTTTGACATTTGCATTTCTTGCTGGGCATCACCCAGCTCCTGCACACTTGCGGCCCAAAGTGTCTGCCAGCTGGATAGCCGATGACTCCGCTTGTGTCCAAAGAGTGTGATCACATGATAATCCCGTCCCCCTAATAATAAAACGGCCCCCCCCCCCCCAAATAAGCTGGTCCCCCGGGAAAAACATCTTGATTCTTAGGGGGCCCTCCTGTTCGGTTTCCTGTTGCCCGTACAAGAAACGCACTCCCGGAGCTCCGGCCTTGAAAGTCACAACTTGGTGTAGCACACACGTAGTGCAGGATTAAAGCTACAAAAGGGTCCCCGAATAGGACTGGATTTGACCACCAGGACAATACCTACTTTAGAATTGGTTTAGTATTGGCCCATTCTTAAAGTAGTATTCCCGGATTTGGGATTCTCAAGCATAAATTTTAGTATTAGGGGACCTTTACTATTGCGAAGAAGTGTTATTCAGCCTTCATTTCATTGGCCAAGACTTCTAATGCAAACCCATCTTGCTGACTTGTCTTTCATGAGTCGTGTCGACAACAGCTGTCAAAGTGGAAATGCCAATTGCATTCAGCTATACTTACTCTGCCCACTTCTCCCCCCACTTGTCATTGCCGCTGTCCCGAAAAGCCAGGCAGGCATCTGTGGCAGCCTGCATTGTCCTCAGGATGCAGTGCAAATCGTGTGCTTGGCTTTGGGGGGCAAAAATTGCCAAATGCAAGAGGCCTTGAGCCCTCTGATGCCGACCTTCCGTGTACTGGCCTCTTCCCACCCTGCTGGGCCCGCTGGCCTGTCCAAGGTATCCTGCAAATCAGGCAACAAGCGTTCAGCCAGCACCATTGGCCTGTTTGGCAGTTCAAGTCTGTGCTGATCACAACACGTGGCGGCTGAAACTCCTAGGTCCTCAGCAGCAATGGAGCACTCCACTAGTGCCAAAAGTCCGATTGACCTCAAGATATTCAGCACCCACTAGATTCACTCAGTCTTTCACCCAGCCACACTTTGGCAGTCCCTGTTTGCACTCCTTAGCTTTGGCCCTTTGCCACTGCGCTGAAGGTTCTCCACGAAAGCAAGTCAGCAAAGCATGACTCACTCCTGGGCTGGCGCACTCTGCTTCCCTGGCATTCGCTTCTTGGAACTTTGATACCTCATCCAATTTCGGAGCTCACATTGCGAGTGTCCAGGCCCAGGTAAATGCTCAAACAGCGTCATCTCGATAAACGCCTCCCTCCCCACTCACCCGCAAGGACTTTGGGGTCGCCGCAAAAATGCCAGACATCGCCTTCCCTGGTCTCTTTGAAGGGACGTCGCAGAAAAACAAGAAACATATCGAACCACAAAGCTGATATCTTGGGTGATACATCTGATACCCTGTCCAACACAGAACCTGACGTTTCGGGGTCCTGGTTTCCAAGATCACAGGACCAGTCCGGAGGGTTCTGGGCTGGCGGCTGCCTCCACACAATTGCCCAGCACCAGGCCGGCCTTCCCCTGGGCAATGTAGGCCTGAGGCGTCGCTTACGGCGTAAAGGGCAAAACGCGTGGGTTGAAATACATGGGAGCCCCATGCCACATGCCAACCAACAGCTTACGTACAAAACGCGCAAAACCACACCCAGTTCAAACCACACCCAGTGGTTGCGCAAGCAAGCAACCCAACTCATAGCTTACGCATTTTTCCATGCAAAGGCCAGGGGCAAAGAGCTAGCCATCGGCTTTGCTAGTGGGTGGCAACTCCTCATGCCAAATCAGGCAAATTGGGAAGAAAACCAGGACTGCCGGAACACCTCGTCGTACAGGAAGGGATTGATGAGATCCATGGTAACTCAAAAAGCTTCAAGGCTTGTAGGAGCGATACCGCTATTGCTTGCACTAGCGAGTTTGCTCACTGTGCAAAGCCCTGTGGCTATCAGATTCCCTGCCGCACGGCGGCCTCGGACCTGCTGAAAGTATCCAGGCACCGGGCGCGTACCAAGGCGCGCAAAGCTAAAGCTTGCCGGCGAGGGCTGCAGGCCTAGCGCAAGAGTCGTTTCAGGGCTTGGTGCGCAATAGCCGGCGTCCAGAAATCATAAGACACGGAGTGATGTTAGCATGTTGACATTACAGTATTTAGGGTCTACCCTTGGCATGGGAGAATGGGAGGAAAGACTCTCATGTTCGTAGGGACACTGGATCTTCGATGCTTGTTGAAGGGGCCCAAACTGTCCCACTCCCTGACAAATCGATGCAGAAGCTTGTGAAACCAATCCAAAGATCCGCCCAAGAAACCCTGCCCGATCACAAATCAGGACGTCCTCCATGCAACAATTATCCAACAATGCAACAACAGTGAACGACAGGCCACACTGCCGGCATGCATAGAGTACATGTAACTCAATGGCAAAACTTCGGCGCTTTTGCTCCTAAAGCAGGCGGCCACCTTGCATTAGATTGCCCCAGCCTCCGCCAGCGCTAGACTTTGCTCTGCTGATTTCAGGGCAGACTGGCTGTCGCCCAACTGGCGCAGGGCAGAAGTCATCATGCTAATGTGTTGATCACGCTTTCTGACAACTTCCGCATGGTCGTTTTACTATAGAAAGGCTTCCTGCCGGGGCATCCTTTCAGCTTCAGCCCAGTCGAAACTTGACATTGAATGGATTACAGACAAGTTCTGGCGATAAGTCTTGGCAGTTTCTTGTTGGCCTGCGTGCTCCAAAGGTACAACCGGCTTGCTTGCCTCGAGCTGCCACGAGCTGATAGCTTCCAACCTCAGGCTAAGCACCTTGCCAGGCATCCTTTGCACCGAGGTTTGGAACTTGGGGGTGCGGCTCAGCTGCTTCCAAACATTCGTTTCTGTCCACGAAGCAATCCAAAGCCTGAGCTGGAGGCGTCAGAGATGCAGACTGATACCCTCATTGACTCATTGCCTCATTGCCTCGCTGCACAGCCTGGTCGAATCTGCCGCCTGACGGTGCAAGCTTGCTCCCCAGTTATGATCAGCATTGTATGTGTTCTTGCGGGGCTTTTTCTTGACATGGCATTTGTGCCTGCACATGCCTACAAGCACGCCCGCCCGAGGCATCCCAAGTGTGCCTTTTGCACGGCAGCAAGCCAAGCCATGCAGGGCACGGCCCTCAAGCTGCCTCATATCGGCAAGCAGACTTTGCACACCTCAGCCTCCCTCACATCGAGTCAGAATCAAAACCCGGCATTAAAATGGTCGACCCAGAACCATGCAAAGAATCATGAAGCCGGATATCCGCAGCTATGGCAAGGGGATGGTCCCTAACCTTCATTTACCCGAATCGGTTAGCACGTTCACGTGTGCTTCAAGGCGCAGAAAAACGCCGGGCTCAAGGCAGACTTTGTAGGCTGCGGAAAGTGGATCTGGCATGCTCGAAGGCCTGCCAGCGGCGAAACTTTTTTTGGACGGCCCTCGAAATCCCCGCCGAACATCAGGGCACAGTCTTCCCCTCTGGTATTGGGGGTAACTACCAAATTCCCACAAGGGTAGGGGGTTCAGTGCGGCTTACTTCTCGGTCCAGTGCAAGTTACCTGGAATTTCGGCATTTCAGGTTTTAGGGCTTAGGCTTTGGTTTAGGGTCTGCACGGCTCAGGTCTTGTATTAGGGTCAGCACTGTTTAGATTTAGGTTTTGGTTGAGGGAGCGCAGTTTAGGGTTTAGGTTCTGGTTTAGGGTCAACAAGGTCTAGGATTCTTTGGTTTGGTGTCAACCCGTTCTTGGGTTCAGGATCAACATAATTTCAGGTTTACAGCAAAGGGCCCGGCCAGAAGGAACGAATTCAAGTCAGTCCCGTCCACTCGACCCCGGCCCCACGAAGTGCACTAAATACCCTTGCAATTGTCTACAACTCGGTGTTGTTCTTTTGGGTACCCAGCATAAGGTGAATTTTCCTGTTGGTTCCCTTTGAAAACCCTGAGAAAAAGGGGAAGCCTCAATTGTGAGATCCAAGAGCCTCGGCGGCAGGCCCTGCAGTGCCCTCCAACTTCAGCAGTGCATTGCCATTGGCCTCGCTGAAAAGAATCCGTCTCAAAAGCACTTGGAGCAGCGCCAGGGCTGTGGCAAGACAGCTCTCCCCTTCCATCCTTCGGTCCTGGCACGAGCTGCGATCCTAACCGCGTGCCACACGATGTTGCACGTGACCTCCAGCACGGGTGTTTTTGAGCCGAACCCACAAGCACAGGATGCACTCCGTTGATGTTCCGTTGTGACACAACTGCGCAGTGGCGCACCCGTCGTTTCTACGACATCCCTTCAAGAGCAACCCGCCAGCAATTGCCACATGCCACGCTGATTTCTTCAACATCCACTGTCCTGCCTTTTGAAGCGAAACCGACAAGCCACATCAAGCCACTTGCGACAGGGGTCTGGCAACTGAAATACGCCGTGCGCA